GTGAATAGCGATAAATTTCGAAGTTTTAATAGATATGAGCTACTGAATGAACTGAACAATGAAAAAACACAATGGACATTAAACGGAATAGAAACTTGATGTAATATAAAATAAGTTCGTTTATGATAATTCGGTTAGAAATATCGTTTGAATGGGTAGTGAGGTAAAATGAGTAGAAACTTTTTTTCATAATTATCCTTTATCCTATTTTTGTTTGGTCTCGGATAATTCCCATGTGACCATGGAGATTTAGGTAGTTTACTTAGAAGACTGCTCCTCGAAACTCTCACTGAAGGATCTAATCTACAACGTCACAAGATGCGACTCCATGGTGGTTGGTGACCAAAATAACAATCTAGTATCCACCAGGTCGGTTTAAGCTACGGGCATCTGCTTTCCTTCTCTCAATGAGGACTTCCCAGACAATAACTATAAACCCGAAGCTATATAAGAATTCCAGGAAAAAAGCGAACTCCGTCCACCTTAGTCATTTAGGTGTCTGTATTCAAGTTGATGATATTGTAACCATCAATCCCTGGACTTGATACGTATTAGACTGTATTACTTGTTTGAATTTCTATATGGATTTTGGTCATACCCTGGTATGCGTCGGAATTATCTTATACCTAGAATCCCATCGTGGACGGATCTATACAAGCAAGTTGTCAGGATATCCATTTGTCATTGAAATGATCGATGAAATTGATGGTACTCCGGTTGGTATTATCTAAACGGATCTTAGACTCTGGTGAAAGAGCTCTAGGAGTTAATTCAACTGGTCTGCTGCCTCAGTTTCGTCGGTCATACTGTCCCGTGTTCCGTGAATACCGATTAATTTAACTAAGTAAAGATTCATCAGAAACTCCAACCTCTGAGAAGTCAGAAAACAGTAGGCCATTAAGCAGAATAACATCATACAAGTACTTATGTCCTTCCTCTTAATCCGATAGTAGAGTCAGGCAGTGTTAACTAATCTCATAATTTTCCTTAAAATTTTCCATCGATGATATTCCAGAAAGAGCTCCAAAGAGAGCACTGGATGGTGGTAGTGTGGATCTTTTGCTTGCACAAACTCTTCTCAACCTTGAGTACACCGATAGCATTGTTTTTCTATGAGATTATATACAGGCTATCCAACTCGCGCCTAAGTTGTCGATTAGTGTCCGCAAAAACTTCACTGTTAAAATTTAAATAACTTCTGTAAGACTAGCATGGGTCTCAGCTAACACCCACTCCTCATGGTGAACTACTGGAAATGGTCAGAAAATTCTTTTATCTGGGGAGTTTCGTTAGTAATATGAGTGGTGTATCAGATGACATCAATCTATGTGTAAAAAAAGCTACAGCGGCTTATGTCAATTTGGATCATTTTTAGGACATTTCATAATACTGGTTATACAACTCCATATTTTATCAGATACGGCTTGGAATTCAAACCAGTAGTAATCCTGTTGTTTATTTTCATCACGTTTTTCATAAAAGTGGGATAAAATACTTTCATTGAAAGGATGTTTACTTGGTTCTATTTTTAAGTAGACTCTTAAAGTAACCAATATAGAAATTTTATTTTATTGAATATTTTTTAAAAAAAATTACACTTCAAATTTGGTTTTTCTAAATTACACTGGTTGAAGATGAACAACTGAAGGTCAAAACATTGTTCCATTCTGCCTTGAAACTTATAATCTTTGGTCATCTTTATTTTTAGCTTGAATGATCTTGGCTAAAGTGTACTTTTTACAAAGTCAAAAATGTAAGCGATATAATCGTTCATTATTTTTGTATATCAAATGTTTTATTAACTATTATCAAAGTAATCTAATATATAAAGCCATTTCATGATTACAAAAAAATTACCCACGCTGCTTAAATGTGATATTGACAGGCTACTGGTTAAAAAAACAACTTAGAATGCACCTTTTACTTAAGTTCCTACATATGTTGCCTCATCATTACTTCTTCCAAAATTATTTCTCGGATATCTAATTGAAGTTTCGGATTAAGAGCTCAATGTTTCTTGATTTATTCGAGTAAAGTATAATGGCTGTAAAGCTCGTAAACCAAACAATATTATGTTACTGTTTATCTAATGTTGTAAATGTTGATAATTAAGATTGGATTCATTAGTTTAAAAACTAAAATATTCACGATAGTGTTTGAGAATACTCTAAAAACTTGAAGTTATATGGTTCAATATATGGATGTTTTAGTGTTATTACTTACTTACTTACACCTGTTACTCCCAATTGAAAATAGACTGCCGATCAGCTCTCTCCAATCCATTCCTTTCTAGTTCTATCCAATTGTTGTTCATTCTTCTCATGTCTGTCTCCATTTCCCGGCGTAATATGTTCTTTGGCGTTGAGGATTTCAAGTGAGTGCTTGCAGTTGTGTGCTTTCCTCACTGTGTGTCCTATCCACTTCCAGCTCTTCTTCCTGATTTCTTCCTCCGCTGAAATATAATTTGTTCTCTCCTACAGTAGGTTGCTGCTGATAGTTTCTGGTCAAAGGATCCGAAGTATTTTGCGTAGACAAATGTTAATAAACACTTGTATCTTTTGGATGATTTGTTTCGTAGTTCTCCGAGTTTCCGCCTGGAACTCCACTGAGGCTACTGCCGGTCCCAAGCCCGGATAAAGGAGGATGGTTGAGCATGGGATTAGTGACCCCATCCTATAGAAATCTAACTCGGTAAAAAAACGCTAACCACAAAATAATTCAATTGAGTGATATTGTTTATTGAAAAAAAAGAATTGTTTTTTTAAATTCAACACGTTTATTAACAATACTTATGTAATGATGCCTTTTGTTTATGAAATAAACAAAGTTTCTCTTCATTTATTTTATAAGCGCAAAAAAGCCAATTGATTAACTAGACAAAATAACTTTTTTATTATAATCAAAATTCTATTCTATTCTAGACTATCGTCTGTAACTTGTGAATTAAATATTATGTCATATTTACATGTATCATGATGGAATAAATATTGTTTATTGTTAGCTACGGGTGATCAGATATATTTATACAGGCTGATCAAAATAAAATGATACATATATGTATATGTATATATATTTGTCATTTCAATAAATGAAGAAAATATTGTTTAATTGTGCATATTTAATTACAGTAAATATCAGATTTGGATCTTGATCATAAATTGTTGTTGTTGTTGTGATGGGTTTAATGAAAAGTACAAGTAATTTCATTGTTAATATTTCACTGAGCCTAATAATAATCTGAAATGGAAGTTACAGGAAGTGTATGTCAGCAGTTAATTTAATACACAACATGCCGGTATATATATATATATATATATATATAACAAATCTCGAACATGAATATAAACCAATATGATAATGAAAACTAGATAAACATGAGTTCGTTTTCAATCATGTTTTAATTACTACTCATTATTAATATAGATGAAAGTTATTTACATTTGTATGTTTTAATGATGAATAACTTAAGTACATATATCATTTTTGTATAGCTTGTCTTTTCTTTTAACAATAAAGTTCATCAGTATGTTCATAAGCTTGAAGCTCTATATTTTTCTTGATGTGTGGGTTTTAAACAGATCATTCATTCTTTAGTCTACATCGCCTGGTGACAAAATAATTTTGTATTTATAGTTAAAATATAATTTTTTGATACCCAGTTACAGCAAACAATAAAGAGGAATTATACTAATCCCAGTAAGAACATATCTATGGGTCGAATAATGGCAACCAAACTCAGTATCCAATTAAAGTCACCAATAAGAAAGAAATCTATCCAGTTGAGTTGAAGAAAACAGTCTTTCATTAGTATTAGTTACTTTCTCGAAATCCATATATCACTTGACAAAAGAAACTTGCATATGTTTATTGTAAACAGTTTCATTTAAATCTAACTGGTTGACATTAAAAAATCTAACTATTTTCTCATATACTACTGGAGACAACTATGAATGTTTCGACATATTCAGTGACTGTAATGAGTATTCAACAAAAAAATAATTCACTATATATAACAAAATAATTTTCTGAAGTTTCAATTGATTTGATAAAATACTAGATTCCTTAAATCGATAAAAGTGATAACTTGTTCATGAAACCTATTCCCAACTAGACAAAAGTGCATGAAACACAACCACTATCCAATTAAGTAAATATATTAGAAAATCAAAATTGTCGTTTTTAAACCAAACATTTAACCAATTTAGCATATTAATGACATTAGGTTAATAAATAATAAAAGATTAACATGACGAATTAATTAATGCCCTGCGATATGTTTACACCATGTTAGAAAATCTTATTTACTAGAAATTCGCTTTAATTTTAACATACGAATTGCTAATAGAGTTTCAAGGACAATTAAACGCCAATTAAGTACTTTTTAAAGCAAAGATGGATAGCAACTAGCAGTGGAATCTAGAACGCTCGTTCCGTCCTATTTAGGAATCGTCATCTGGGTGTACCATGATCCCAGAGTTGATGTTCACCCTGGGTCTTGAACCCAGTACCGCCATCGCCTTATCCACTTAGCTACTGAAACCTGTTAGCCACCTGCTTGTGCAATGGGGTGAAGTTAAATTCACTTGGTGTTGTTGTTTTTTATCTTCCCATTGCGATTTAGGACTGCAATTGATCAGTCTCATCTTTCCTTAAAACGCTTGAGACTTAAGGCTATATCGAGGCAATCCGTACAGGATGCACATATGCCAACATGAGATTGATCAATCGCAGTCCTAAACAACAATGGGAAGATACAAGTAAAACATCGCCAAGTGAAGTCAATTAAGTATTGTTGAAGAAAAAATTTCAAAAATCGAGAAATGCACTTGTATGTTACTTTTTTTGTTTCTTAACGAATACTCGAATAGTGGCTTTGTGAATAAGATCACATTCAAATATGTCGAGTTTCTCCTGTGAACTGAAATGTTTATATATATATATGTATATGTAATTGTAACCTTTTCAACTGTTTTTTTGTTGTTGTTTTTTTCTTAAACTAGAATTTGCTTTATCGATACGGGTACATGGATGACTATTCCAAAACTCATAATAATAATAATGGTAACCCTATACCACCACATCAAAATCCATATGAATCTAAATTTCTTTATCCAGATAAATTATCATTAACTAATCCACCGAAAGAATTTAATAATGCAATTAGAAAATTTCAAAGACAATATAATCTACCTATTACTGGTAAATTAGATGAAGCTACAAAAAATTTATTAATTTCACCACGTTGTGGCAATCCAGATCAACAAATTAATTTGAAACAATCATCAACATTATTATCCAAATTAAAATTTGGCAGTACATTCCATTTTAATCATAATTATTCATTAACTGTACAAAATGCTAATAATAATCACAATGAAAGAAGATTATTAAAAAGACAAAAACGTTATTTAATTGGTGATGAAAAAATGAAATGGACAAAGAAACAATTAACTTGGCAGTGTGTGAAATGTATTTTTAGTTGTTGGTTTTTTTTGGTTTTTCATAAGGGTATAATTTCCTTTCCCCTGAATTATTTTCGCTTTAATCAAGTTTAACTTACAAATTTATATATATATATATATATATATATATATATATATATATATATATATATATATATATATATGTATATATATATATATATATATAAGTCTAAATAATTGGTGAACTAAAGTATATCACATTGGTGTTAAGTTAAAATGAAAACCATATCTACGTAAGAGGACATAAGTAGTGGTTAGATTTAAGCTTGAAATTTGTAGATAAATGACTTGTTGCAACTTATGCTAACAACCAGTTTAGTTAATTTAAATTGTAAACGGATTTCATTTCCAATTTATTCATGATAATATTCTTTTATAGTTATTATATTTCCCACTGAAATCACAAACTGATCTAACTTAGATAACTATTGAAAATCATGGAGAACTAAACAGCTGTTTTAAACTAGTATGAGACAATTCAGCAATGCGCATCCATGACCCTTTCACCGAGGATTAAACTTAGCATCTTTGGCTTCTTCTATGGATTCTTAACTTCATAATCACTGAAAAGGGTTTAACTACAATTGATTCGCGATATTGCACAACTATTATTCATTGTTTTTTTCTGGAAAACTCTCTCACACCCTACACAGCTGAACTCTACTAATCACGGCTTCTCACTAGAACTTCAAGAATTTCTGCTAGAAGTTAGTCGCTAATATGTCTGAAGGTTATCTAACTTATGTCAGTTCGCGATCTCAGTAACACTCAACAATCTCCACAAATCCCCCAGACCGATGTTATCAATCTACTCATAATATAACATGTTTCAGTTTTATTCGTTATTTACATTTAAATGAAGATTAAAAAGCTCATTTATCTGTGGAACGATATGATGTGATAATTTTTATACTGTTTATAAATAACTTCCAGCTTTAAACTATTTCCACTGTGTCGCAGAAAGTATTTACAGAAAACGAGGATACCATTGACTAATATTATTGTAACATATTATGATGTAAAGCACATTTAAATCTTCATAATTTTACAACACTTTTCGAAAGAGAAGAATTTTAATTACTAAACAGTATTCGTAACATATTTAGATGTATATACTACTGAAAAATATTTTCTTCCACTTTTTCGACGTAAGACAAACATGTTGAAAGAAATATAATCCATATGATTATTAGTAACTTAAATTGAATATATATATCAGTTTTGTTTGACTGTTTTAAACGTATGGTGTGAATTTTCTTAGTTAAAAATAAAACAAATAAACTGAATATTACTAGCGCCAAATTTTCATACAGGATGTAGTTTTAATGATTACAAGTAAAAACAATGATCATAACAACATCACAACTTGGATTTCATTCTGTAAATAATAATTTGGCACATAAATGTTTTAAAATTAACTAGAACTAAATATATAATCACAATTGTAATCGATTTTGAACCTTAAATTATTTCTAATTTTGTACCGATCCAAAGGTCAAACATAATTATGATGAAAAAGTTATGGAATATTATAGATTATTTTGTACACGTAATCAAAACGAAGTCGTGGGTACCTAAGTTTTGTAGTGATTGGTACTCGTCAAAAAATGTATCTGTCGTCTTTTAAGAAAAATAATGCTTCTCTTAGTATTCTAATCTGTTTTATGAGGTGTCTCATATCCAGAGAAGTCACTACTGAACTAATCCAGTAACTGCGTGACACGGGATCAAATCCACCAGGTACATCTCGCTGACTAGTCCCAAATAGCACGAAGCTGAGGTCCAGAGTTTTCTGTCGACTACCATCAAACATCACCTTACTTCTCAACATAGTTCATGCAGTGACGAGTCACTTAGACTAGTGGTTACATTGCAACTTGATCGACAGAATTCGATCTTCACTAAGAAAGACCTGACCAACGTGATATTGGTCACCACCCAGTGACCAATCATTTGTAAAAATCCAATATTCATTGCAAGTAGTTACTTGTATTTCCTAATTCTTAGTTATATTACTATTACGAAATATTGAATAAAAAATGAATAATATTGGCTTTATATAAGAAATTAACTAGATAGACGGTCTTGGAATTTATAAACCAAAACTGTCGATAATTACTCATCTATAATATTGTACTACTTATATAAAGAACTTTTCTCAATCCCAATCCAGTTGAAGTCGAGAAATTTATATCAGTAAAATTTAGTGGCCGTTCATTTTGGGTTGGTCTAGTTATATACCATGACTGTATTTCAAGGTAAATACCATTTATTCAATATTATTTTGAATAAAGAGCACTTTTAAAGCTCATATGGAGTGCTCATTTTTATAGGCCACCAAGATGTCTAGAAAATTATAACTTCAGAATATTCACATTAGAGTCCAAGATGCACTGTTTTTTTATCTATATATACTAAGAAACGGTGCTTTCATTTTTCGATGATATTCGGTTATAGTTAACAAAAGTGGCCCTTCAACAACCAAAAATAGCTTTTTTATTTAGTTTGAAGTTCACATTACTTACGTATGTAGTTCTTATTAAAAGACACATTACACCTAATTTAATGAATTGATGATATATATATATCCCCAGTGGAAAAGGATTCAAACAACAAACTACCTATTTTGGATGTGTTTTTCACCAAAATAAAAATAAAAAAATTTAGCGACCCAAATTTCCATAAAACTAACTCATAAGATTTAAATCTTTAAATTTAAAACCGACAGCCTTATAATTTATGAACTCGATCTGCTAAAAGCACTATTTAAGAGAGAGAACATACTGCATCACACCTACTGGACAAAGAAATAAAAAAAACACCCAATGATTGTGTTTTAAATGAATAGCAGTCTGCACAACTACATCAAAACACATTAATCGGACTTATCGAAAAGTATAAACTCAGTTATTGAAACCAGTAAACGGATTATTCCACAACATATGGAGATATCGGAAATAACTGTATTATTGAAACCGTTAGAAAGTGACATAGCTCATAAACCAGTAATATAACTTAAATCAAACTTGAACATACTGAAAGGAAAAACAAAAGAAGATAAGCCAACTATCATCATAGAATCAACTCTCCGAAATGCAAAAAAAACATTACATTGAGCAGAGTAGTTTCCTTCTTCATCGTCGTCTTCATCAACATTAGTTGACTGTCAAACGCCACGATCTATCTTCGCTTATATCCAATGTACTTAGACAAGTGTTCAGAAGCAACACAAATAAGTCCCGAGTATTTTAAAAAGTTTGTTATTTATGTTAGTCAGTAAACAATAAACATATAGGCGTGGATCTAATTCACCAACTAATAATACATAACTATGAGGCCAAGACTCAGTTTGAAGGTGAAAATCAACCAAAATAAATGTGCAAACAACGGTAGAACAAGTATTGCCAAGAATCTGTTAAAATCATTGTCATTTGGAAATGTATTGTCATAGCTCACTTCTATCTGAAACTAACTAAAACTTCTCAATTAAATCATCTACTTTAAAGAATTCAACTTTACTAAAAATCTGCATTGTTCAATCAAACAATAACGAAATATTCAACCTTGAGTTTTATTTACTTAAATTATAATCTCTCAGCTGTTTTGTTTTGTTTTTTCACAATGTATTTCACTAATAAATAAACATGAACTCCTACTTACTACTTATTTTGTTGTTGTTGTTGTTGGTTTATTTGAGATCCAATGATTGACATTCATCATTTTATGTCATTGATTACTGATTCAATGTAGAATAACATTTTAACTAGTCATTTCCAGTATATTTGAACTGATTCTATACCTAACATTATACATTATTATATGTGCATTTTAATGCATAAAAAATTTACGCTTAAAGTTCAAGTTATTTGCATAATTATGTTTTGAATTACATATGTTTAATAGTACATCATTTGGCTTGATATTTATTCATTATCACGAGAAATAAATGTGATAAATATATATATGTAATCACTTATACTTCCGGAGGTCAATCAAACAAAATCAAATAACACAGTTAATGTATTCAGTCTTTATTTTTCTATTCTATTTATTCCCTTTCTATGCATAATTTTGTAAACTACTTTGTTTTTTTTTCTTTACAAACTTACCAACTACTATGGTATATGTATTAATAAAATAATCAATTTACAGTATTTATCTATGTTAATAATATGTTGAATTTGGTTACTTGTTCTCTGAAGAAGTGACTTACACTAAGTCACGAAACATCAGAATATATAATTTTTCTACTCATTGGGATATTACAGATATATTATTTTTATTTATAATATGTTTAAATATTTTCATGTACATAGACATTTTAGATTGTTCAAGAAATAAACCATCAAATTAATTAAGAATTAAAATTATTTTGAATACGTTATTAATTGATTTCAACATTCTATAGAAATCTTGTATTATTAAATAGATCATGATTGTGTTAGTGAGAATAAGAACAAAAATTAAAATATATTTACTAACAAGAAATATAATACAAATTGTAAATTATTATTTAATCTAATATAAGTTCAATATAATTCATTTAATAATTGAATTTGTGAGTCAATTAAAGCTAGACCACCATGGAAAATCTGGAAGCACTGGATGGCCGTTTCATCCTAGTATGGGAATCCTCAGCAGTGCGTATCCAGGATCTCATCCCGCGAAATTCGAACCCATGAGCAAACCTTAACCTTTAGACAAGTGAGCAGGCATCCAAAGGTGTTAACGTTTAACTTCAACCAATCATTCATATCTTATGAAAACCATACTTGATAAAAAAAATTCCTTTCTTTCTATACTCGTAAGACCAAACGTTGGAACAATTTACAAATAATATTTTGGGACTACTCATAATTTAATAAAACTAGTAATGGGTAATTTTTAATTCATATATATCGTGAATATGGACTGCTGAGGAGTCCCACGATAGGACGTAACGGGCGTCCAGTGCTTTCAGGTTTTCGATGATGGTCTAGCTTCAATTTGCTGATGATCTCAACTATTTAAATTTATATATATTAGTTGTTTGAGTTTCCCCATTAAATTTTAGGGCTGCGATTGATCAGTCTCTTTTTGGCATATGTGCACCTAGTGTGAATCGCCTCAATATTGCTAGTAAGTCACAAGCATTTTTAGGCAGGGATCGATAGTGGCCAGCAGTGGAATCTAGGACGCGTGTTTTGCCTTGATTGGGACTTGTCAGCTGGATGCACTTGCATCTCAGAGTTTATATTCATCAGTAATGGGTAAATTATCTTCTGGCTTACAAAATTGAAATCACAGTTTTTTTTATTCAGAGTATATAAACTGTGAGTATAGATATAGTATCTGGCCAGAAATGTAAAGTGTAGGTTTGCAGGAACTATGCCCTAATTTTCTTTAGGGGGTACTATGCTACTAGCTACCAATGACTATGAGCGTTTACGAATTGTAACCCGGTTAGAAACCTTCAGTAGAACTACTGAGATTACTAGCTTGATGTCTGAATTAACAAGGATTTTTCAAAAGTTTATTTTTTATAGTTTATAGTTGTTAAATGTTATGTCTGGCGTATTTCCATTTAGAATTTAGCTATGAATCACTACCGTGTATAGACATGAACACTTTTAAATTAACCTTTTCGTATAACATGTTTTATTCAGTTAAATAATGTAATTAAAATTTCGTCGTGTTAACGGATGTTATTCGCCCTTCACTTCACTCTTGTTCATTCTCTTTGGTTTTATTCTTTCAGAATCCAAAGTTATCCATCACATTCTTTATCAAGGGTACGTGCACATGCAGTATTTCAGCATACATTCAATTTATGGTCAAGAGTGGTTAATTTAGATTTTGTGGAAGAAAAAGATTATTATAAACCAGCTGATATTGTGATACGATTTGGGGCTGGCAAACATGGAGATTCTATACCATTTGATGGAGCAGGTCAGTAATTCCGTTAATATATGTGTATTTTAATTATATATATTGACTGGAACTTGGTAAAATATACTTAAATGAGTAAAACTCCACATTTTTTGATGTTATTCAACACTGAATGTTAAATTCTAGATAATTTTATAATTTATGATACTTGCGATATCCGCTGTCTATAGTTTAAGATTTTATGTGACAAGGCTCAGAACCGTTTACAATACCACATATATTTTACTGTTTACCTTCCTTTTGATCTTGTATTCCTGAACTCCTTCACACATACTTATCCATACTGTCATTTTGAATAGTATTCTCAATGATTAATCTTTCTCATGATCATTTCTATTAAATGATTTGGATCACTTTTGTCATTCACCTTTTTATATTTATTTCTTCGTGTTAATGTAGTATATAAGCTTGGGCCGATTTTCACTCTATACTAATGATGATTGACTTACTGAAGGTATAAAAAATAACATATTTTCAAGAAAATGAATTTTCAACTTTAACATAATATAATTAGATTGTGAACATTTCCATTTGTTTAAATAATCGTTACGTAACTTTTTTAGAAATTTCCTTACACTGTGTATTTTTGGTTATTCAGTGATAATCAGTCAGTCAGCTACAATATAGGACTGATACTGATACTCACAATGATATTGTAGAAATAACAACATTGATCTATTAAAAATAGAATCTCACTTTGAATATATTTCTAATCCATAAATATAAATAGTATTTCTTTCTGATACTTCTTAATCGCTATTAGCGTTACTAATCATTTTAAATATTTACTATCTTATGTTATACATCATTTTCAATCGAATGTTTGTCCATTACGTAGGTAAGCTCCACATGGTAGAGTGTAACTTTAATTAAAGATTTCATTCACAAACTCTAATGTTTACTACCTTTGTGTTCTTCATCTGAAATATCCAGCTAGTTTCAGTCAGTCGTTATAGCTGATTGACTGATTGAAATTTCTGACTAAGTACACAAAGGTAGTAAACATTAGGGTTTGTGAATGAAATCTTTGATTAAAGTTACACCCTACCATATGGGGCTTACCTACTACCTATTTAATTTACACTGAATATGTTTTAGTAAACAGCTAAGGATATCTTCAAACCCTAAGGACGGAAAATTTGCTGAAACTTCTACTGGACTATGAAGCACTCACTAAATTAGCGAAATATTTACCCAAATAGTTGGATACAGTACACTAAAGAGATATTAAAACGTTAAAAACTACCTTTGTCAATTATATTAAACAAATTAATTTGTGAATTGTAAAGATTTTTGTATAATTTTTGTTTTTATTATGCAATAATCTCTTTTTTATTACATAGGTGGAGTACTAGCACATGCTTACTATCCAACACCGGATAATGTATATTCATTTTCTGGTGATGCACATTTTGACGATGATGAAATCTGGAATGATGGACCACATAAAAGTAATATTTATTTCTATATTTTTTTACATGTTAAATTTTTAAATATAGCTCTAGTTACGTCAATTAGTAATTTAGGGTTATTGAACAGTCAGTATTTGTTTATGAAGATTGTTGAACTTCAGTGAAATCACGAATCGATCAAGATTTCTATAACCAATGGGAACCTGGAAGCATTGAATGGGTACTTCGTTCTAGCGCAGAACTACTGAACAGTACACACTCACTACCCAATCGTCAAGACTCAAACTTAGGACCTTCGGTTGCTTGTGCAAATGCTTGACGCCCAAACCACTGAGCAGAAGTCTTACGGTATATAAGTATAAATTAAATTAATCCACAGTATTCGGTAGTTAATGAGAAGAAGATAGCTTTTATTTTGCACTGAAATTCTATGGAAACTATCGATAGAGGGATTTCAGCTGATAAATAATATGAATAAAAATGAGAAAAATAACTTCTAGTTGCTTGCAAGCAAAATCACTGAGTTACAATTATATCCTGAGCGTTTTTCACACTCACCAGATAACAAACACGGCCTCCGCATGAAATCTCAAGATCACTTAAAATATAAACGAAATAAGTATCCCCAGTCTATCAGAACTGAGAATTATTTGATTAACCATTGAGTACCAACCAATGTCATGTTTAGCAAATCTTCTAATTACCTTTGTAGAATCTTTTGAATTCGTAGCAATATTATTTAACACATGAGCACATGATTGTTATTGATCTTATTAGTAATGTTAAATATTTACATATTAGCGTTGAAAAAGAGTATTGTAAAGGAATATAACTTTACCTTACTAGCCATTGTAAAATTATTAAATGGGGATTTTTCGGTGAAGTTATTAATCATATATCTGATGTACAAGTAATATGTTACATTAAGTATTTTCAATCGTTTTCCCTTTCATTCAGTGAATGAGTGTTTGATATTGGAACTAAAAAGAAGAATTATAAATGTATGACGTTGATCACTAAATTAATGATCAGTCAGTTGTAAAATCTCTGTCTTACAAGAGATCAGTCTCACTCTGAATATCTAAGTGACAACTTCTCAGACCGTGAGGGTAGGTGATATGGGTTCAAATCCCACAGTGAGCACCTGTTCCCTCAAGCTTTTTGTATGTCTTGTTTACGAGTGTTAAATAATATGAAACCTAGGTATAATGTTTCCTGTCGACTACCTCCAACTTTCTAACACAGTTCAAGATTTTATAAATTTTATTTTGTGTTTTCATATTATTTCTTTACAGCACATAGAAATTTGATTTCCGTCGCAGCTCATGAATTGGGGCACAGTTTAGGATTAGGTCATTCATCTGTACCAACTGCCATTATGTATCCTTACTACACAAGAACATGGGAAAAAGTTAAGTTGGATCCAGATGATATCGCTGGAATACAACAAATTTATGGTAAGCATACCATTCAAACAAATGATATCTTTTATTCGATTGAAATTAAAACATTTAGTAAACTAAAAACTACTGTATATGATATAAAAAAATTACTGGTAAGGTAGTTTTAATAATGTACTTAAATTTACATGTACGGTATAAATATATGTGGATAAACATATAACTCATTTTTAAGTACAAACATATGTGCTTAACTTTCAACTATACGTCTTATATGAAGGCCAGTGTTATCAACCGGCTACCGAAATCAAAGAGGTTGAAAGGTGATTTGAACTTCTAACCTAATGACTAGGACTCAAGTGCTTCAAATGTCAAATTATTTCCTTGTTCATTGAGTTGATGGGTCATTAGCGAATGGATTTTAGTTTTAGTTTATACAAATTAGTCACTCAGTACATATTTTTGTACTAGACTTCCAATCAGATTTACTGTATAGAGATTTACGTTATAAGAAGGGATTATATTATGATAGATTATATTTTGACAGTTTAGTTTGTTGATACACATTATATAAATTTTTCATTACTTCTCATTTTTTACTCATACTGTTCTGTGGCTGAACTAATCTCATTGAACAGTTCATTTAGATTTTTAACTAATCAACATGAATCATTCAGTCAGTTTGTGTTACATGATGCGATTCATTCATCATTATATAATCGTTTTATTCAGTTACTGAAAAATTGAGTTCATTGGTATTAGGCATACTCTTAATTATTGTGCATATTGTGGGTTTTAACTAAGTTTCTAAATAATTTGTTCCTTAGGTAATTATTGGTTTCTTTTATAGTACAGTTGATTGTCAGTATAAATTATTGAGACGATTTAATGCCTCGTCAGAAATTATTTTTTTTAATGCTCACTGAAACGGATTATGAACCGGATCATATTAGATAACAAAATTGACTGATTGCGAAGCTAGATTTCTTACTGTTCCATTAGTGATAAAAATAGGCTAAATATTGTTCTGTCAATTCCTAATGAGATAAGAATTTAAAATCTCTTTTGGACTATTTAATTACTATTAGTTGTTGTGTGTTGAGTGCTACTTATATTAACATAAGTAGTATATAACGCGAGTCAGGAATGTAATATCTGGCGGCAGAAGATAGGGAAGATCAAGAAAAGAAGAACAGAAATAGAAAGCATTTGGTATGGAAATGCAAGAACAATAAAGTCCGAAACAATTATTGAACATTTTGCAAATTGGGAATTATAGTGTGGTTTTTCTATTTTATCAAGTAAGTCTGTAATGGTGTGCTGAATATAATTCTGTTGTCCTCACCTATGTTCTCCTTTACTACAGTTGCATTAAATAAAATTACATAATGGGAAACTTTCAATATATTCCGCATAACATTAACTAATTTCATATGAGAAGCAATTCATTCCCTTTTTTAAAGTGTGACTTGGTTTCTCTAGAAATTTATCACCATATATTATTAATAACAACAATGTGAATTTGTGCCATTTTAACCATTATATCGGACAAACTAGACGTTTGTTACGATTGAACCAAAAAATTATAGTAATTCAGAATAACAAGTAAAGCCTAACATCTGTTACAGAATTCAATTTCGTTCAACTATAGCGAACATCAAACGAATAGAGTTTAATTCGACCAAGCAATTTTAAGTTGTACCAATGTGTTAACAAGTTCTGCATGTTTATATCACCCAACACTGGAAGCATGAAAGTTCCACTGAAATAATTGCATTATTCTCGGCTTGTGTGTTTTATGTGTGTAGGTATATCCAACGCACAGGCGCATGGGTAAGCACAAGGAACGTAGGCCTAAAAATGTATCCCCTATGCCTAATAAAATCAGCGGCTTAATCCTTCAGGTCGAAGACATAAGAAAATATGGTAGAAATCACTGGAGAGGTAACCATCAACCTTCCTTGAAAAAGGGCTTATGCTTATGGGTATGTCAAAAAGCTCAGAGGTGAAAGCCTTTGTACCAGTCATTTGCATGTAATGCATAGGTGACAGTCAGCTGCAGCAAATACGTTCAAAGGTACTAGTGAACATCCACGCTTCCATGTGGGCGAATATACCTATATGTATACTCTGGAATTTATGGGTGAAAACTTGTGTGTTACCGGTGTACTTGTAGGTCATACTTGCCTGTTTTGTGGCGCCTGTGTGTCAAGACCTTAAGTTAACAACTTTCCCATAAAGCAACACCTATGGGATGAGCTTATGAGGCTTGCAAAACGGAAAACATTTTTAGAAAGCCAACCGGCTTCATCGGATAAGGATTGACCAACTTTAGCACATATGGAACACTGCACCGTATATATATATATATATATATATATATATATATATATATATATATATATATATATATATATATATATATATCCATTAAGTGATTTGGCACAACATTTGTCAGAATAACTCAGATACGTTTACTTTTATCTTCTCCAAAATCTTAAATAATTTATGGCCCAGTAATATTTCCCTAGTTGACCCATTCTCTTCTTGTTTATTTCAACTACTTCCACATTTTTGTTTAACTTATATGTCCTGATGAAAAACTTGGTAACTTTAGCTAATGCACTATTTTGTCTGTCTATTCTATCTTTTATTTTATGAACGTTATGAAATTTCACTATCTTGTCACAATATCTTATTGTATGTAAACATCAATATATTTACTTATTTGTATATGAACTTTTATAAATTACTAGGTAGTAAGTTTTCACATTTAAATTGTTTTATCACTGTTTACTACTATTTAAATTATATTTCCTAAAACAGTTTAGTCTAATGTGTATATATAAAAATATTTATTCCATCAACAATTTTATTTTAACTTATTCATGTCTAGACACAATATATCTAATCTAAATTATATCTACTTATAAAATCTGAAATGTATTCAATTATTTACAATTTTTCATCCCGTTTCTGTTTTATTTAAGGTGCTGCTAAACCGGGTAAATTTATACCACCTGAACCAAGTTTGCCTGATATACCCCCACCACGTAAGTTCATTTTCTTTCAATTACAAATCTGGACTACTCAAATTTAATTAAGTAGTCATAAATGTTCGCAAATTAGGTATTTTATAAATTCGAAACCATATACAATCGTAAGTTTCCAGTATGGCTTCAAATGGTCATTTGTAAATGTACATTAAATTGATGCTATCATTATAAAAATTGGCAATCGGAATTTCCAATAACATGCTCAGTAATTAAACTTTAATATTCTTTGCTTTTTTTTAAACCATACATTAATATCATAATCTGATTCAGGTGAAAATATCATTATTAGGACGGCTCTAAGAAGCTCAAAAAGAGCCGGAGATATTCCATCCAATCATCTTTAAGAGCAATACTCCAGAGTTTATACGTGCATCCTACCTATTGGACATATGCTTAAACCCCTCGTAGTTGGATAGGATGACTATAATGATGATTTCGTTTTTACTTAAAAAAATATAAATACCAGATAGTTTTGTACCATGTTTGGCACTGTTTGGAATAACATTCCTTTCTTCTCTCTTCTATCTTCTCATTTACGACTTGGAGAATTCCAGCTTTTGAATGCTTAAGTTGTACACGGTATAATAAGAATCTAACCCCTAGATATAATAATCATTCTATAAAAGATCATTTTCCTAACAAACTATAAGAACCAATTCTGTCTCATACAAATCTTTAATGTGTTAAAATGTCCATCAAAATAGTGCACGAATTAAAACGATTATTAGATTGCTTGATGTTTGATAATTTTCTTCTAAATTGTAATTGGGAAAATGTTCAAATTACAAGTAACATTTAATGTTAAAGTAGTAACATTAAAATTCATGAAATAAATACACTTTCATTTTCATAGCTGTCATATTGTGTTGTTGATTTGATTATTATAGATTGTTATGACAAAAATGATTCATATTTATGTTATGTTTTATTGAAGCAGTGTGATTTAATATAATTATTTGATTGAATTGTATCATTGCATTTATCATTTGATGATAAATGTGAAAGAAGAAGAAATGAAAATCATTCATACACTGTCATGAACACATTACTGATAAGATTTTAATTCAATGCTCATGGTATAATAATTCAGCTACCTTAATGTAGATATAATAGTTTTACCTATTTATAAAATTGTCATTTGAAATTTCGTTCATTATAAGATATGGAGGGAAAATTCTACTGAGATTATCGATCACATTTTTTATGTTGAAGTAATAAGGTTTGTCCTAATATTTTCACAGGAGACAATTGTTCCTAATTGTAAATATGGGAAGTGGATTCTTTAACAAAAATTACACTTGAGTATCTAGTACTTATTCACTGAATGAAAGGGGAAACGATTGAAAATACTTGATGTAACATATTACTTGAACATTGGGTTTGTGACTAATAACTTCATCGGAAAATTCCTATTTAAAAATTTTACGAAAGCTAATAGGGTAGACACTCTGCCTGTAGCTATTCTATAGTTACTGCCGGCCCCAAGCCTGGATAAAAGAGTTGGGAATGGGGGTCGGTAACCTCATTCTGTAGAAAACAACACTGCTAAAAAACACTGACCAGAATAAACAAATTAAATTATTTAAACTCTGACCAAAACGTTGAAAGAAGAATTATAACGCCTCATCGTGAAAGTCAAGATTCTTCGGAAGTCATGAGGCCTATTCCCCTTCTAATAACCAGAGCAATAAATAATATAGGTACATGGAATGTCCAAACAATGTGGGAGACCGGGAGGACCAACCAAATAGCTGCAGAAATAAGGGGATACAATTTGGTGGTTCTTGAGATCAGTGAAATCAAATAAACACAAGCTGGACAACAAAGGGTAAATTCGGTAGAGATGCTACTGTACTCCGGTCACGAAGAAGAAAACGCTCCACACACTTAGGGGTCGCTCTGATGCTGTCCAAAGAAGCATTAACTGCCCTTATAGGATGGCAATCTCATGGATCCTGAATCATCGAAGCATCCTCCTAAACAAAGAAGAAGGGAATTACAATGAACGATATCCAATGTTATACTTCCACCAATGATGGCAACGACAACAATAAAGATCAATTCTACGAGAGGCTGAAATCGATCATACGGAAGTTTCAAGGAAAGGACCTGTAAGAAAGCAACAGGACCTGACAATATACCAGCAGAAGCGCTAAAGTCAGACACAGGAGCAACTGCAAAGATGCTCAATATTCTATCCGGGAAGATTCGGGTGGAATAAGAGTGTCACTGACAGACTAGAAAGAAGGACACTTCATCAAGATACCAAAGAAAGGAGATCTGAGCAAATGTGAGAACTAAAGAGGCATTACACTACTACCGGTACTAGGAAAAGTTTTCAACAGTGTTGCTGAAACTGATAAAAGATTCAGTAAACGTCCGAATTCGGGATCAACAGATCAGTTTCCGTAAAAACTGGTCGTTCACAGACCAAATTTGCAACACTAAGGATCATCGTTGAACAATGAACTGAATGGAACTCATCACTGTACATTGACTGGATTATGAAAATCCTCTTATCTAACGGGAAGCATGGAAAACAATGGACAATCTGCATGCAACTAGACCCAGCCTTTCTATCTCATACACACGAACAAAAGCAGGTCAATAAAGCCACTCCAGCAGGGGCCTCTGCATCAGTAGGCCTCTACATACACAAGGGAAAAAGCAAGATCCTGTGTAGCATCATCGATAAGCAAGGAGGATCTGATGCAGACTTAAAGGCGAGGACGGGCAAAGTAAGGGCTGCATTCCTACAACTGAAGAACATATGGAACTTCAAACAACCGTCAGTCAATATCAAAGTCACAACATCAAGACAGTTCTACTATACGGATCTGAAACTTGGTAAACTACCACAACCATCATTAAAACAGTACTAGTATTTATAAACAATAGTCTACGTAAGATACTCGTTGTTTGTTGGTCGGATACCATCAGTAACAGCCTACCGTGGGACAGAATAAACCAGATTCCTGATGAAAAGGAAACTAGAAAAAGAAGCCAGAAGTTGATAAGATATACATTGAGGAAATCACCAAACTTAATCACAATGCAAGCTCTAACTTGGAATCCTAAAAGGAGATGGAAAAGAGCAAACCCAAAGAACACAACGTGTCGAAAATTGAAAGCAGACATGAAAAGGATAAATAGCGACTGGAAAAAACTGGAAATGATTACCCAGGACAGATTTGGATGGAGAATGCTAGTGGGTGGCCTCTGCCCCTACACGAGAGGTAACAGGCAGATCACATAAAATATCATAATGAAAATCGGTAAAATTTTAATAAGAAGTCAAATCTCGCTAACAGTTACATAAGAATTAAGGAAAGAATGTTGTAATTATGTGAGAGCGCAAGTTCGAAAACCTTTGTTGTTTTCGTCTTTGTGTTTGTTAATGACAATAAAGCTGTATTGGGGAAGCTTGTATTTTGGTTGAATCACAAATTCTTTTATTTCATCTGTATTGTTATGTGATCTTATTGGGTTTTTTTTACACCAAATTTATTCTAAATCATACCCACGCTTTCTTTGTAATGCGTTATACATGAAGTGAATAAGCCTTATTTTTAAACTGCTGCTTTTTTTGTCAATGAATATGATCTTTCGGCTATACTCGAAAGTAACTTCACATTAAGAAACCAAATTTGATGATCACAATTATTTATTTAATGTGTATAAGACTGTGAAGAGATAAATCATTTTACTGTCACATCCAATATGAAATGTTCGGAATACCAATATCCTAAGGTTGCTGTTGAAGTGATCTATTCCAAAAACAATTAACTGGTAGAAAGTTCAAGTCCACATTACTACATATCTATCATAACGAAGAATTGTCAGTTTAGTTGGTAGCCATATATTGGGATTGGCTGTAGTTAGCTCTTTTCCCTTGCCTTCATTATTCCATTTCTATCACATTGATATTGTGTTCCTTAGGAATTTAAAAGTAATTGTTCATAATTTACCGACAGAAGATAAATAATTATTTATACTTTATAAAAGTATTTTGAGATAATAACAAAGTTTGACTCATGGTTCAATATTATACGTTAGTGGTACGAATAAATCAAAAAGAAGAACAGACATTGTTCATCACTAATATAAACGTTGACGTCTACAAATGGACTTACGCGAAACTTAAGATACCGATGATATGTTGATATAATCTTCGTTATATGTTTCAGTCCACCTTGTTCATATTAGTGTTAAACTTATTCACTCTAGTGTTATGAAACACATTGTACCAATTTTTTAACCTATCAATAGTTAGATGAAACAGTGTGCAGTATACATAATAGCACATCTTTTTAAATAGTAAATCATATTAAATCCCTTTTACAGTAACTATTTCGTTATTCTAATAACTTTTACTCACGATATCTAGGAATTCCGATAGTTGAGATCATGAATCAATTGAAGCTAGACCATCAAGGAAAACCTGGAAGCATTGAACGATCGTTTCGTCCTATTGTGGGACTCCTCAGAAGTACGCATCCACGATCCCGTCTCGCGAGATTCGAACCCAGAACCTATCATTCTCGCACGCGAACGCTTAATCTCTAAACCACTGAGCCGGCATACAACGGTGTTGATGTCTAACTTCAACTAATCCACGAAATTGAACGACACATCCACCACAGTCTTCAGTGAGTTGCTATCTCACGACAGATCTGGTAGAACTCCACTGATCAGTGCTTCACATTAGAACTCCGGGAAATACGTCTTGAGGCCAGTCACTATTGAGCATATGTTGATTAATATCAGAAGGGGTTTTCGCATACATTATAGTAATTTCAATAGTTGAGATCATGGGCCAATTGAAGCTAGACCACCAATATCCACAAAACCCTTTATGATATCTAGGAATGATGGTTAATCATCTTACATACACTATTATTTATCTTACGAAAAGATATTATGTATATATATGAACTAAAAATGATTTTCTTAATTTCTTTTTATAATTTACATAGCACCTGTAACTACAGAAGCTCCAAAACGTGAGAATGTTTTCGATTTTTGTAATATCAGTGTTGATGCAATCATTAAAATCCGTAATTTAGAATTGTATGTTTTTAAAGGAGAAGTAAGTTTAGTTCAAGTTTCATTTAAAAACTACAATGTTATTGATTATCTTTTTCTCTTAAGAAAAAGTAAATCCAGTAAAGGAAATTTTCTTTTCGACGAAATCATTTACTGTACATTCATATATATACAGTTATCTGGAAATTATATATCTATAGGAGGATAGAATAGATTGCATCACAAAAATGGATTCAAGACTAAACAACAAATGAGATTACGTACTAATCAAGGGGTAAAGAAGAAAATAGTTTATGGGTTAGCTAATAGCCCAATTGACAGATATGATGAAAAATGACAAACAAAAGGGTCATGATTGATTCGATACCCTTTTGATTCAGTTCCTTTGACTCTGTAGATTTCTTTAAAAGAAGAATCTTTTGAAGCGATTTGTCCACAATTAATTCAATACTCGTGTGTAGAACTAGTAATTTTCTTCCTTACCCCTTGATTAGTACGTAACCTTATTTGTTATTTAGTCTTGAATCAATTTTATGATGTAATCTTTTCTATCCTCCTATCGATATCTATTTTCCATATAACTATATATACGAATGTACAATTTAATTAAATGATATCGTTGAAAAGAAAATTCTCTTCACTGGATTCTCCTTTTCTTATTCAATGACATTATGGGTTATTTTTCTCTTAAGTTTATGCATTACATAAATCAGGATAAAAAAGAAAATTATTTCGGATAGATTTTCATTAATATTTAATTGAATAAAACAAACACAAAATGATCTGAATGTAGATTAACAATTGATAGTTAATTCCAATAGAATGTCATTTACAAAAATCTAAACAACTATGAAAAATGTGTTAGTGATCCGTAATCTGATTCCAATTAGACTATATGTTGATCGCCATTGAATGATTGCTATCGAAATATAGATGTCACCTATCCTCAAATATTTCATCGACTTAAATCGCGTTGATGAATAACGGAATTAAATAAGTCAAATACGAGAATGTATTTCCGATTACATATATTTTGTACAGTTATTGATCTGGGCAAGCAATCTGAGGAATGAAGCGGAGGAAGCGACGAGAAGTTAGTGATGCGAAATAACGCGCGATGGAGAAGGCAAGTAAGCCAACTCCATTTAGTCAAACGTTAATCAGTATTTATAGTCACACACACAGATACGTGATAAGTAAGATGAGAAATGAACGCACATATATTCATATAAAAACAGTCAGCATTGATAAGTGAATAATTAACAAGGTTAGAATGGGACTCAAGAAGAATGGATACATTAACCTGTCCAGAAGCTAGAATAAGCTAATATGGGCTTAACATAGCAACCGACACTACAAATGAATATGTAATGGTTTAATTAGATAAAAACATTTAAAATCATCTAATCTGTGTATAATTTTACTTGGCTATTAACTAATGTTAAACTGGTCGAAAAAAGTTTGGATCCACTAATGTGTTTGATATCGTGAGATTTGGAATTGAAAAAAAAACACTACTTTAGCATGTAATTCAAGCAGTCACATAAAGATGTAGAAAGTCAGATTATTTGCCAAAAGGTGAGAATAGTCAACATAAATCATAACTAACTATAAATGTTTCAAGAACGATGAATTATGCTTATGATTAGTAGGACACTATTTTGAATATATTTAGCTCAGTTAAATACTTTAATTTGCGTTATATTCTGTGAAATGGATGTTTTGTTTGCAAAGATTTCGTTATCGTTCTTGGGAACATCATTGTGTGAAGTATCATGTTATATATACAAGTATAATAATAACTTCCTCATTTTGAAGTTAGTGTAAAGCGATTTGTTTGGAATTAACGACTACTGACTAATACTCGAACCAGTCAACTCAATACACATGAAAACCATCATAAGTTTTATCAATTCATCGTGATGCTACAAATTTACTGTTACTTCTAGGGTCATTTTAAAAGTCAAATATGAAAGACGAGACTATGAAACTTATGGTTTCATTGAATTCACTATCAGCTCACAAGTTCCTAGATAAGAATGACGATACAGATAACGCGTTAAAGTATGAAAGTTAACATTGTATTAAATGTTTAGTCCAGGTATATATAAACCAAGCATACTTTCCTGGACAGTTTATTAAAATCAAAGACTATGATACAAAACGTTATCAACAAAAAATGATGATGAATAAGCAGAAAACATTCTATACAAATTAATTCTAAGTAATGCTAAATATCATTTCATTTTTCTTAATCACTAAAGTGGCAATGGCGAGTAACATGGTCAAAAACTGTAACAACATGGATTACCTATCAATTTCGTGATGGTCCAGCAAAAATAACTTATTACTGGCCTGCATTACCTAAATACGTTGATTACATTAATGCTGGTATTGAACGCCATGATGCAGCTATTTATATTTTTCGAGGTAATTTTTAACTGTTTTCATTGAACAAGTGGTTTTAGTCAGATTGTATGACTTAGTATTTTTTATTTACTTTTCAACAAACCTAGAAATCTAAAATCGTTTGTGTTGGGGAGATTCAAAAAACTCCTCGAAAAAAGCCGAAAAGGCTCCGAAAACATTAAGAAGCATCTTATCATCATTCCATAGAATTTTTCCCAGAAACATCTAGAACGTGAAAAGTCACATGTCGCGTTACTGACTATATGGTCACCTATACTGCTACTGTGTTTAGTATCGTTCCAGAATCTCCCAGAAACCCAAGGCCATCTAAAACACTATTAAAGCCATAGATTTTCTGTACATAAACGAACCTTTGGAGTAAAGCGTTTCTTCCATAGTTCGCGCCTTTTCTCTCGTGTTGCTGTGTAGATTTAGCCTGAGGGTTACTAGAAGAGCTTAGAAACCGAATCTAGCGTTCAATTAGAAGACTTATTAGTTTGTAAAATGATTTTATTATTGAACATTTGAAATTGATATCAATCAGCTCAGTATTTATTGGTGATATCATTAACTTTTTAGTTAATGTTGTCATCACAAATATTCAATTTAATCTGATAATATTTTTGTACACTAGATACATTTCTTTCATATAATGAAAAGTACTTTTTATTTGATGAATCTGTGAAAAAGGGAAGAAACTCCAAACATTATGAACTAACTTTAATTAATTTATCATGTGAACAAAAATAATATTACTGTTTAAACTTTATCATACCAGCTACCATATCTAATCTTCTCCTTGAGTTCTGAATAAAAAAAGCATGGAGAATGAAAAGTGACTGATTATATTATCTTATCCTAAACTAGAAGTTTCATATGTTGTGATATGATTCAGAGCTTAGATTGATAAAAGAAATAAGATCCAAATATACGATGAAGCACTCAACTAACTGATCATCAAAAGCTTGATTATAATTCCTAAAAACTTAGATTTCATTAAATTACCTTTTTAGTACCCGTAGCTCTACTTGGTAGATATAACCGACCATAAAATCCCCACTGTCATTTATCTTTTTTAATAATCAAATGTTTCGTACAAGAATAGTTGAATTAACCCAGATAGATGTTGATTTGAAAGATTCAGTCACTGGATTATTTACATGGAATTTCATTTGCTCAAATCGTTTTACAATGAACTTTATTTGTTATCTTTCGAATAATAAAAGTATGCTTAAGAAAACAAAGGTGCTGAACCAAATATTTGAAAGTAAGATAGATTAGTAAAATTCCAAAGATATTTTAAGTATTGTTAGTACCAAAGAGTTGTCCCAGTTATTTGATTGAATACATAGGTTGTGTAGAGCTTTTGTTAGTTCAACGCTTTAATTGTCAGAAAACACTCTTTGTTCATTAAAACATTGTAAAGATGAGTAAATTCTAAATGAACATCGTTTCAACTATTGCTACAATTAGTTGTACTCATAATATTGTAACTAAAACTTAGAACAAGAATACTAGTTGAAACTTGGAGCTCATCAAAACAAACAAACAAACAGTGTTGAAATGTGTACAGAAAATCTAGACTTATTTAATTAGAGAGTTTATAAAACTAACTTGGTTTTATTTGCTTGTTTTTAATTCAACATTGATTGCAGCTAAAAAATTCTGGCTACTATTGGATAATATGAGAATGAAACCTGGATTTCCAAGTGATGGATTACCTCTAACTAATCTTGGACTTCCATCGTACCTGGAACGTGTAGACAGTGTATTTTTATGGGGAGAAAATCAAGCAATTTATATCTTCGCTGGAAAATATTACTGGCGCTTGGATGAGAATTCTGGTCCATTTGGCAAAGTAATTAATAGTCCGGACTATCCTCGTCTGATAGAAGATACATGGCAGGGAGTTCCTGTTCCTACACAAGCTGCATTTACCGGTCTCAATGGTAATTTACTTGTTTACATATTTACTCCTTATTGTGATTTGATACCTCTTGGCGTTAATAATTATTTTCATCTAAAAGATAAATAATAAATTTCCTAAATGTGCAGAAAATGACCTGTAGCAGTCAAATGCAGGTAACTCTATACTTTTTCTTTCGTTCCGTTCTGCTGGTCTTATCGTAAACATATTTATATTCCAATGTACCATTTTATTGTTTTAGATATAGTGTACGCTCTACTGATTTTTGTAGACTGCATTAATTTGTATTTGACTTCTACTTCTTCAAACGATCGTTTATCCATCCTGTAGTACAACAGAAGATGAAATAAATGCTATTCGGTGAAAGTGGTTGATGAACTTAATTAAATAGAGCTAACAGTCATCAGCCACCTGTAGATCACCAGGTGGCAATTCGCTCATCAAATTTATTTCGTTTTAATGAGCTACTGAAATCCTGACCAGTAGTACGGTTTTTAATTTCAAGCCACTTTTCGCTTGAGTGTTTTGTTTGATACTTAACAAATTATAGTAATTCAGTACATGATTGTCTGAAACCTTTGTTCAAAGTTATAACTCAATGCCTAAAAATGGGCCGTTCCAAGTCTAATTTTTGAAGAAAAAAACAAGAGGTCAGTTGTTATGTGCGCGCAAATCGAGTCACTTGAACTAGTGCTTACGCTGTAACTTGGTGGGTAGAATTTCCCCAACATTAAATGACTAGATAAACATGAAATCATTCACTACCCAGAGATCAACCACTCGAATTTCGATACTAATTTCTTTGTAAGTGATGAGTGAGTTCGAAATTAGACATTTCACAATCTAGCAAACTTATGATTTATTACAAAACTAAATAACCGTTCGTTGAGATGGATACACTTTGTTAAATGACCAAACCTCATTTTAATTTCATTCAATCCATCAGCTGTTATATTCAGATATTATAAAAATAAATAGCACACAGGGATTTGCATCTCAACTTACCTGATACCGCTTCATATTCAAAATCCAATTACATATCAATAGATATTTATGTGTAAATAGATTTTATTATTTTTAAGTTATACTCATATTGGTCTGAACAAATATCTTATTACAGTGAGATCTGAATGCTTACTGTAAACTAACTCTCAAAGGTGATTTGTAATTATTTAATTCATGTCTATCAAATATTCATTGAGTTTGATGAAACCTATGGTTTATCAGTCATTGGATTATCTATTAAATATTAATCTTAATATAATTAAATAATTAGTTAGTATACTATCACAAAGTGAACGGTATTAACCGAATATCTATACTAGTATGACAGAGCAGTTAATATTCAGATCTACTCATCAGTTAGTGGATACCATTATCGTCTCCCTTTATTTTATTGCTTTACAAAGTCATTAGTAGCAATAATACTGAATTGAAGTTACAAAACTAAACCAATAGCTTCTATGTTATTATTCTGTAAGCATAACAAAGTTTCTTGGATATTAAATGTGACTAAAGGATAATTTATCCGGTAGTTCACTTCAGTTGAATATCATAGTAGAGATTACATTTTTTATAATATTATTCAGCCAAACATCTTGTTGAATTGTCTTTAGACTTCTTTGATGACACAGTGAGTTTTTTTCGTTATGTGAAGACTTGAAAGAAAACAACACATTAAAGTTCAATCAGCTATTAGTTGAGAAATCATAAACGAATTAAAGATAGAAATTGAAGATTACATTTTGTCCTATGATTCTTTGCTTCTAACTGTTGTAGCAAACTGAGTATTCGTATTCCTTTATCTTGAATAGAAGATTTCTTTAGCATTCTATGCTACGTGCTTATTTATCAGTTATTACTTAGACACATATGATTTTCTCCTGATTCTACATGTGATATCTAATAATACAACTTAGCATTAAATTAACGAACTAGACTCAATAAATCACTAGATAAATAACTCAGATACTGAATGTCCGACAATAATGAAGTACCATACCTGGTCCAGATAGTAATTTATTAACACATGTAGAAGTACTGACTTGACTATAATTTAGTTGGAAACTATATTTCACGTAAGCTAGCATGAATTTAACCTTTTTTGTAGCTTAATTGGTAATTACACAACTATTGATATGAATTCCCCAGGTAACTTATGGTTATTAAATTAACTTCAGTTTATTTGAAGTAAAATAATTTAACTGACTTTATTTTTCCAAAGTAACATTCTATTTTTTTTCTGTACTTAATAAAATTGAATAAACATCTTTTTTCTTTGTTTGTTTTTTTCAAAAAAAAATAGATGAAACTTTGTTTTTTAAAGGTACAAACTACTATGTATTCGATAATATAGCAATGCGTACACGTCCTGGATATCCGAAACAAGCCTCACTAGGTATACTTGGTTGTATGAAATGATTAAGAAATAACTGAATTGAAACAGAAGAAGAAGAAGAAACATTACATCATTACAAACCATTAGCAATATTAAAACTAAAGTTCATTTTGAATTTCAATCAATTGTTTTTACTCATTAATTTTATATGTCTATATGTCAATTTTGAACAGAAACTGTGTAATAAACCCTAGTTTATTCAAATTAACTTCAAACTTTATATTACTTTTTTTTAAAGAATCTATGTACACCCTACATGAGAAAATGAAAACAAGTTATCACTTTTACATAAATAATTATCAAAACTATGAAAAGAAAAATCTGAATCCTTTGTAATTTATTGTATTCATAATTAACTTGACATGCCTCTCTTGTGAATTGGATTACCTTTCAAGGTGAGACTATAATTTATGGACGATCTTTGACTGATGTTGAGGGTGTCCAACTGATAACTAGAACCAAATGAGGGTTATAAATTAGTGTGAGGAATTTGAATTATGATTTAAGGTTTTCATCACGAACTGACATTAGATATAATGGTGAAACTCTATTTAGACAAATGGATGAGTGAATTTCGCGCCAAAATCTGAGACCTGTTATATTATACCTGATTGGTTGGTTCATAAATTACGCTTTCCTCCCTTTCAATTTTATTTATTATTCTTCTTATAACAAAAAATTTCCTTAATGAGGTGGATTTTAAATAGTTTGACTAGAAAATTTCACTTAACTTCTCTTTAATACATTTACTTATCTTTACATATGAACCTGTGAAATGTCTTTTTCTGTTCATTTTTTTTTTTAATTTTCAATGTTTTCTTTAATTCCTTAGTCATTTTTCTATTGTTTTGAGGACTTTTATTCGTGAACATTCTGGAAAATTAAAGCAGTTATAATACTAATTACCTTGAAAGTAACCATAACTGTACTATTTTTAGTTATTACTGTTGTTAATAATATCATAACTATCAAATTATTACAATTGTGAAGATAACGAGCAATTCTAATTGTTATGAATTTAATCTTGTAATGGTTTGAATTATTCTATGATATTGTTGACTAAATTTTGATCAGTATTCGTTGTCATATGTGTATTCTTTACAGATTACTTTTACATAGCCATTTTTCACAAGTTTACATAAAACAGATGGAATGTGACTAAAAGTGGAATTCAGAACGTATGTTTCGTCTATATTTTGGACGGGAATCGACTATTGGACGAAGGTACACCTGGCTGAGAATTTTAAAATAGGACAAAACGCTCGTCCACATTCCACTTATTCTATATAAACTGTATTATTAGCGTGACTGTCATTATTTGTAATATTTATATCGCGAACGAACAAGAAGGCTTTAGGTTCAAGACTTACATAAAAAGTTATATACAGATGTATATGCACATGAACTCATACACATGCACATCAGACAGTGGTCATTTAGTACATCAAGTATGAGAGAATGCAGTAAATTCATTGTATAAAACTTGTAAATGAATATTCAACTGTGATAAGTTTTTTTAATATGTGCTTGAAAATATAAGTACGCTTCAGAAAGTCATTTCTTTTGTGGATGTCGTTAATGGCAAAATTGAAGTGTGCAGAAAAATCAAATTATGATATTTTATTAGTTGGAGTACTTTATTCCATCCTTTTTTTAACTGATTAAGTCCTATAGCTCAACTGATAGATTTTTGGGCATACAACCTGGAGGTTTCTCAAGAGAACCAACTCTAAACTAAGTTTTTACTTGGTTTTGCTTATCACCAGCGTCATCATCGTATAGGTAAACAGTGAATGATAAATAATTTTCCTTAGCCTGTGGCTAGGATTGTGAGTAGTACATGACACCTAGTAGCCTGAGAATTTCAATTAATCTTGTGTTACTTCTAGCTCGTTAATCATATAATGGTGTCATTTCCAGCTGGTTACATATATAGGTTGACATCCAAATGATTTCGCAATAATACTAATACTCTTCCGTTTTCACTGGTTATCCAGAGAAAATCTTTGTGTTGTATACCGATTTAAAATTAAACAATACTAATATACTATATGCTTTGAACAGTTTCAAAAATTGTTCATTTGGATGCTATCGATAGATTTAGATATTCCAATTTCGATCACTCAATGTAATTACCAAATAAACTATATTATCTTAACGTGGATATTTTACATTCTATAGCTTATATCATTTCTGTCATTAGTTTGACAATCACTGAAAACCATGAATTGCTGGTTAGTTATTTCCCCCTAGTATGGGACTTCTCAGCTGTGCACATCTATGAATCCATCGGAAATCAACCCTCGTGGAGTGCTTAATCATTTAGACCACTGGGCCAACGTAGAATGGTTCATATTTTGAACTTCAATTCGAACAATTATCATAAAAAAGCAACTGCTTTTATGTCGATACTTAAGTGACGAAAAGTTTATGATGTTTATCAAACTGTTCGAAATAAACCTGGAAAATACATAAGACTAGGGTCTTAACTTCTGAAACCTGTCACTGAGGTATACGTCCAATCTTGGGAAGTCTTGTTTTTTGACAGTCACACTGGTGTCATTTTAAATGGTTATATTGTTTGCAAACAGATATATATATATATATATATATATATATATATATATATATATTTATTTATTTATTTATTTACCGGTCACTTGATTGCTATCCGTTTCTTACTTCTTGGTCGATGATCAATATTGAGTGATCGCTAGTTAGAAGTTAGCAGTTCAGTCATTCGACACCTAAATAATGTACATTCTTTTCGCTGTATTTTGCCAGGAACCACGATATCTCTGATTCGGCTTTTTGTAACTTGTACAACGAAATGTTGTACACTTTTCATCAACGCACCTGAATATATTATGCGAATAATAGCCATGATGATGTATTAAAACGAATAAAACTGGATAACTTGTTGAAATATCTAGATGGCAGGAACAGATAGTCCAGATGTTAAAGTAGGTCTATCTAAGGCTTTCTAATAACAGCCTTTAACCAATAAATATTGACGCTCATATCACTAGTGTACACCACTGAATTGCGGAAATAATGAACAAAGTTTGATTAGCATCAAAACCTGAGAAACGTAAAAACTTAGCAGTCTCATATCCATTCAATTCAACTTTAAAAATACATTCTTAATATCATATAAAAATCAAGATAAATAATGTATATCTAGGTCGAATTATTCAGGCGCATCATTTCTTATACATTAACTGACTAACGATAACATATGAATTTATTCCCCTGAGGGATCTCAGTAGGAAAATATGTCTATAATACAGTGTTGTATGATAATCATAAATAAATGTTCAATTCAGTCGCACTTGTTACTTGTTTCAAAACGCTAACATAAGCTACTTTGATTCTTTAAACTCCCTAAGAAATTCTCACCTCCAATTCATCCAATTTAAATTGTTTTCAAAAAAATGACGATTCAACCGTTTCATTAGAGCAAACAGTCTGCATTATAGCATCACCAGTTTTTCTCTTCATCTTCACTTTTTGCCATTTTATGTGCTATACTACTTCTTATTACACAGTAGTCTCAATGTATCCGACTAAATATATGTACTGAAAACAGAAACGTATGAAGTATTTTCGTACCAATGAATAACTTATCCATTAATTCGACATTTCAGCTCGATCTTTATGATTGAGATAGTAGTTTTCCACTCAATTTATTATATAGTCTTTTTGACATATATCTGGTGAATCTGTTTGCTATTTTTGAATCGCCTATTTAGTTCCAAAACATTGTGCTTGACTTATTTTTATTAGTTGTTAATATCTTTGATTGACAGAGTTTTGTTTTGTCTTCCAATCTATATTACATGTTGTGATTATTTCCGAGGGTATACTTTCATTTCTTTTATATGCTTCTGATGAAATAATTAACTCTTTGACACCTAACAATAAGAGGTTTGTCAATTCTTAATCTATATGTTGTAAACCATAATGGTACTACATTTCAACATGATTCTCATCATTTTGGTTCAAAATTGATAAAGTGTTTTCTAAATACATTGACAAACAAAATACGTCTTAATGACTCCTAGGACAGTATTCCATAGAATTTACATCAAAAATACCGAAGTAACTTTTCTCACAAAATGAAGAAAAGCGGATAATGACCACCTTTCAGATTGAGTTGTTCAAAGGCATGTTTGTATGTTTAATATGTATCTCTGCCTTATTTTAATTGGTACCAACCAATTAATAGATAACTGAATGCCTTAAAGTGTTACTACGATCACTCACCTTTTACAATTTTTTTGTTTTGCTTAAAATTTAAAGATATTCTTATCTTATGAATTGAAAATTTTGAAATCTACGCAATTGAATTGTTAAATATTTAATAAGAATTACAGAAGCTAATTATGCTTATTTAAAATCATTCAATCTGTACTTATAACTGTATAAAGTTATTTTCATAAGAAATTATTAATTACTTACTTATGCCTGTTACTCCTCGTGGAGGAACAAAAGTCGCCCACCAGCACCTTTCATCCAACTCTGTCCTGGGCAATCCTTTCGAGTTCTTCCCAATTGCTATTCGTCCTTTTCATATCTGCTTCTATTTACCGACGTAATGTGTTCGTTGGCTTTCCTATTTTCCGTTTTTCTTCAGAATTTTAAGTTAGCACTTGCCTCGTGATGAATTTTGATGATTTCCTCAATGTATGCCCAAAGTACGTTAATCGTCTTTTCCTAATTTCCTCTGCAGTTGTAAGCTGGTTCATTCTCTCCCACAGTAGTCTGTTGCTGATGGCATCCGGCCAATGGATGTTGAGTACCTTGCGTAGACGACGATTTATAAATACTTGTATCTCCTTGATGATAGTTGTAATAGTTCTACAAGTTTCAGATCCGTACAGTAGAACTGTCTTAATGTTCGTACTGAAGATTCTGACATTGATATTGATTGACAATTGTTCTGAGTTCCATATGTTCTTCAATTGTAGGAATGAAGCCCTTACTTTCCCAATCCTCGGCTTTATGTCTGCATCTGATCCTCTTTGCTTATCAATGATGCTTCCGAAATAATTTCTAAAGGAAAGAAATTGAATTACTGAGATCATTTTTAATAATATGTAAAGCTTATAAAATATTCCGGTTAATATAGACAATGTTCAGTTATACAAGTGATTACAAATATTCATTTGTAAAAGAAGATAGTTTAGTGATAAGAACTTTCACTTTGAAAATACTAACCATTAAATCGGTACAATTGTATTAATATTTAATATTTTGTACATATCCAAGCATATAGTATAAGTTATGTAATACTATTCAAAGTAATGATAAGGTGAAAATAATGTATTTGAGTTCAAAATCTATCTGTACACTTAAATATTAAGAAATTGAAGAATAAGTGAGAATAACTACTTGTAAAACTAAGTGTCCTAAAAGCACATCAGAATAACAGTTTGGTTATGGATCTTCTGAATCTTGATATCAGGTTTGAATTAGTAAATTGTATGTAGCGTCAGCAGTGATCCAGTAATCTTGAAGGAAGTTTCCGGTGGCGTTACGTGACTAAAGTTGAACATATGTTCGATAACTAAGTTGTTGGGTGATTCACACTCCTTTTAGATAGTATCCCTCTCAAAAACATCTAAAAAATAAACCTATATTACAACTAAAACGTGTTTTACTGAAGTAAGTAAACTAATAAATACTTATCAATGTGACTTAAAGAGCCAATTTATCCATTACACTGCTCAGAATGATGTGCTAACTGGAAGAAATCCAGTGCTATGATGAATAAAAGGTTCTTATCAGGAATACCGGCAGTTGATCTTTCGAGGTTTCACTTGCTGTATCCATTTTGAACCAAATATCTGTGAACGTAATGTTTCTAAAGTTGTTCGGATGCTTCCAATTTTATGTTTTGGTTTTCGGTTACTCTGGATGAACTTAATAGCCAATTATTCTCCATAAATGTCCATCGAATGTTTTCAATTTATCATCTATTATGTTCTCTATACATATAGGTCTAGCCCTCGAGGTTGAATATTGGTTTAAATTTCTCTTTATACTCAATGGAACCCAAATTTTGAAATTCACATACTACCCATAACAGATTGACTTTGAATATATCGATATAATGAATTTTATTAACTTTCTATAATTATTCAGTTTGTATAGGATACTATTATGATCACATTGAAATCAACATCAAATTATATTCATTTATTGTTTAAGCAAAGATGAAAATGGATAGTAAATCATAATTTATAACCATCAAAATTAACTGATCAATCGAAATCTTAAACATCATTAGAAAGATTTAAATGACTCATATTTATGAGTTATTTTCATTATTATTCTGTTTTATTATATTATTTTATTTATTCATTTATTTTAACACATAGATATTGGTAAAAGGAGGCACCAACTACATATGCACCACACAAATCTCATTCGATATGTGTGAGGGCTGTGATACTGCGCGGGTGCCCAGACCGAAGCAGATGGTTTTCTTAGGGGGCCACTCCCCAAGCCTTTGACCTGAAGGTCTGATCCACAAGGCAATGAAGCAT